GAAATTCTTTCTTTCTTTCGTTCTTTTTCTTATTGTAACTCCTGCTCTTTTTATTCTACTTCTTTTTCATTCATCGAATTTTCAATTAAAAATTCTTTCTTTCTTCCTCTCCGTCTTTTTTTCTTTCTTTTTTTTTTCTTATTATATCTTCTTTTCTCTATTATTCTACTTCTTTTTATTCATCGACTTTTCAGTTAAAAATTCTTTCTTTCTTTCTTTCTTTTTCTTATTGTATCTCCTTTTATTTTTTATTCTACTTCTTTTTCAATTAAAAATTCTTTTTTCTTTTCTTTCTTTCTTTTTCTTATTATATCTTCTTTTCTCTCTTATTCTACTTTTTTTCATTCATCGACTTTTCACTTAAAAATTCTTTGTTTATTCCTTCGTTTCTTTCTTTCTTTTTCTTATTGTATCTCATTATCTTTGTACTTTTTCCATTTCAATAGTTTCTTTTTTTCTTTGAAAACACTTTATATTTTCTTTTTTTCTTTAAAAAAATCGGGTCTTTCTTTCTTCTCATGTTTATTTGAAATTGAAAAATTACCAATGGCCCGATTATTGAAGAAGACGTTTGTATTTGGTCCAAAAATCTCCTTTTCTTTGTTGGATTTTCAAATAAATATTTCAGTCATTCATTCAGTCATTCATCTCCTTTTTACGCTCATTTGAAAATTTCCCACAGGCCCGATTATTCCTGACGCCCCTTTTATTTGGTAGAAAAACTTACATGAGATTTTAGAATATTTTCTGCAAAGTATTTCCGCAGTGTCATAAATTAATAGTATAACCAACCCTACCAGGAAAATATCCCTTTTAGTTGTATGGTAGGCATTAATGACAAAAGATAACCTCTTTAGTGTTATTGCTTTTGACGCTAGCAACTCGTCTTCAAAGGCATCGTATAATCAATTTTCTGTTTCTTAATACTTTGATTAGCTTTAGGAAGACAATTTTTGCTATTCTTATACACCTTCAGATATCCGTGTCCCATTTCCCCATCGTCTGTTACAATGCATATCAGATATTTATGTTTTCTTACTTGCATCCCCAGTTCATGGCTGGCATCATGGGTTGTCACACTTGCTGACGGCCATATATTATAATTCATATTTCCTCCTTTATTCTCACTATTATGCTATCAATACTGTGTCATCTGCATATTTTATGCTGTTAAAATTCTATACTCCAATAATAACTTCTGGTACGACTTCTAGTTCTCCCAAGATCGCTTCATGCTAAATGCTGAATAGACGGCACCTGCTCACTTCCAAGAATTGGGATCGTCATATGCTTTGCTGATTCCTTTCCTTCCCCACCTTGTAGCGGCGGCGGCGGCGGCGGCGGTGGAGATGATTGTGAAGGCTCAGCAGCCTCCTGAAGGTTCGTGAACAGACGAGTGCGAGTTGTGGATGCGCCTGGGCGAGTCGGGGCCTCCTGGCAGCACTTCGCTGGTCTTCTTCATGTTGACGGCTGGACTCGAAAATCTCGGTCAACCCTACACCAGGAAGGCCGATTTGCAGCAATGATTTCCCAGTTCTCAGATTCGATGTTCGTTTGTGTCAGGGATGTCTTCAACTGATTATTAAAGCATCGTTTCGAACATCTGCATAGTTTTGGGCGCTAGTGTGTTCTCCAAACATGATGATACGAGGGAGTCCAGTGGGATGCATTCTCGACACTTGGCCTGTCAGGCGGAGGCGATTTTAATGAATGGTAGCCTCCTTGCTAGGGAAACACCTTCAAGCGAAAACCTCATTGTGGAATAGATCTGTTGAGAAGACACATCTTTGTTTTTCCTCACTCTGGGCCATTATTTACTTTGGTGAGTTTCCATTTAATGTAAAATCACACCACCGTTGTGCGAGAAAAGACCACAGTTAACCTGAAGCTTTAAATCGTCTGCTTTCAATGAATTGTTGTGCTTCCTTTTCTATACTTAACCGCCATAAAAAAAACTCTGCCGACAAATTCAAAGTTTTTCATATTCCAAATTATTTCCTATATCTGTCTAAAGTATTTTTATCTTCTTTTTAAATAACAAATCATTTTTTTAATCTGTGTAAATATTTTTTAAAAGAAAGTGACGTTGCTAATAAATAAAAAAAATACTATTATTAGTTCTTCTTCTATGTGTCGTGTCACTTTAAGACGTAGGCGATCATAGCTCTCCACAATTTCCTATCCTTTGCAGCTCTTAGTAGATTTTGTCTTTTGGTATCGCTCCAAAACCCTGTTCTGCCATCCATTTACACAAGCTCGTTAAAAAGGTTATGCGTTGTTTTCCTTTGACCTTCTTGCCTTCAACCTGCCATGAGAGTATCAAATTTTCCAGGCCCACTTTTCTCATTATGTGCATTAGAATTTTCAACCGTGTCTTTATAGGGCTAAATAAAAGTTCTTTTTGCTTCCATTTTCTCTAAACCTTTGTCACTCCACACCGTCCCTTTTAGCTCTTCATAAGTTTTTTGTTTATGTTATTTCTCCCAAACCCACATCTGCCATCTATTTGCTCAAGCCAGTCAAGTATGGTACACGCTGCGTTCTTCTGTACCTCTTTAAATTGGTCTGTCCTGTGAGTATCAGATTTTCCAAGCCCTCCTTCCTCATTACGTGTCCCAGTAATTTCAACTGCCTCTTCCTGATGTTAAGTATAAGTTTCCTTTTTTGTTTCCATTTTCTCCAAATAATAGTTTCTTAAATGTTCGGTCCATGGTATCCTCAACATGCTCATGGAGAACTACATAATTATTGCTTCATGTCATTTCTTGATCTGTGAGGAGTTTTTTCAACATTCACTGACATAAAGAAGGACTGATATAACATAACATTTCAGTACTCATTTCTTTGTTTCTAACGAAATTTTTTCTGTTTCTTAAGACTTTGCTTAGTTTTTGGAAGGCATCTTTCAATAACACATTGCGCTTTCACATTTCAGTATTTTCCGTCTTCTGTTCAAACACTTCTAAGAATTGTTGTAATTACTTGATTTGCAATTTGCATGTCAAGCTGTTCGTTTTGCTAACAAGCATGCATTCAGTCTCTTTGTAATCTGTGTTTAGTGTTTTCTTCTCAAGATTCGTTTACTACCTTCTTTAAGAGTTTTTGCAGTTTCCCTACTGTTTCGGCTCTCAACACTGTCATTAAGATTATGGCCGCCAATAATGAACCCTGGTCAGATATCCAATTCTCTCAGAATCGCCACACTCTATAGATTGAATAAGTCCAGTGAGAAGACACACTCTTTTCCTAATTGTTGCACTCACTAGATTTTGGTGTTTCCAATTTGCATGTTAGGCTGTTCCTTCTGTTGATATTTTATCTTCTTAGAAATTACATTTTGTAGGAGTTCTTGTAGTTTCCTTACTGTATCTGCTAACACCGTGTCATCTGTATATTTTATGTCATTAAGATTGTGACCACAAATAATGAAACCTGGTTGAACTTGTTCTCTCAGAATCGGCATACCATATAGGTCGAATAAGTCCGTTGAGACGACACATCCTTTTCCTACACCCATTTCTGTTTCTGTATATTTAATAAATTTTCTATCTTTATGTGGGTGGTTCACTGCCAGTATAGGTTCTGGATTATTCTAATATCATTCTCAAATATGCCAAGGTTACCCAGAAGTTCCAAACAGTTCTTTGTGACATATGCTTTTGAATAATCCATTAAACATAGGTATACATCCTTTTGCATTTATACTGTTTTTTTTTTTTTCTGATAGCATTCTGAGCCTAAATATTACATACCTTTTTCCCCGTGTCTTTCACGGAACCAAATTGTTTTTGTTCTATTTCTTTGTCTAATTCTGCTGTGAACTCTATTCATCAGAATTTTGATAAATAGGTTTTGTAATATTTTACTTTCATTACAGGCTGGAAAGTCAATAACATTTGGTTCCATCAAATATTGCATTCACGCTCCTTGGGGGTGCAAAACATTCAATATGAAACCGAGTGGTTTTATTGTGAAACATTATTTGCAAATGTTATACCCTATATTAAATTGAATATATGGATTGTTTTACGCAAATGCCTAGAGTTAAAGAATGTTTTATTTTCCAAAAACGGTCAGAAAATTGTGGCAGTGTTCGTAGTTGATATTACTGAGTTGTTGGTGTTTTATTTTTTTTAATAATACTTCCATTATTTTTAGCCGTTTGTACATGTGGGTGATGCTATTATATTTGTATTATCAACAAGTATATTACATATAGAGTTTGGTAGGCCTCCACGTTTATTTAAATGAGTCCAAATTGAGCTATGGCCAGAGAGATGTAACGTGAGTCTTCTTGTTAAACATGTTGTAATAAATCCAATATAATTATTTATGAATTTAGATTGGCCAGGAACTTAAGGAACATGTAAACTTATCAACACACACACACACACACACACACACACACACACACACACATACATATATATATAACGGGTTGTGGATATATATTAGTAGGAGATTTAGGAGAGTGGCTGAAGAGGAAATGGATCATTCCAAGCTATTTTGTGTTTGGGTTATTTATATACTATGTAAGTATATATACTGATATAACGCTGGCTATTTAAACATGACCTGTAGATTTGTTTATTCTGGTTGAGTGCTTGGAGAAAGTGTGTATGTAATTATGCCAAATTTATTTATGGTCATGACATCCAGATTGACTGTTTATACACATATATATTATTTGTTTATTATATTGTTCATCTATAATATTTACATATCCATATATGGGTGTGTTAGTATTTGTGTGTATATGTATGTGCTGAAGCTTGTAATTGTGGGTGCGTGTTTGTGTTTATAATTGTGTATGATTATTATATTTTTTTATTATTATATGTGTTTGTGCGTGTTTTATGTATGTGTATGTGTATTTGTGTAGTTGATTGTTGTTTACGTTTCTGCATTACGAAAAGATGATTGCCTTATGATTTCATCTGGTCAGTGTTCCATTTGCGTTTATGTTTATGGCGTACTAAATTTGGCCAATGTTCAGTGATCTAAAATGGCGACTGGAAGGGAAAGATGGCGGTTTGAACTTTTATTTTTGCTTTGTTTAATCTTGAACAAAAAGAAAATTGCGAGAGAATGAGAAATAAAGAGAATGAAAGATTCTGGGTGAGTCTCGAAAAAAGAATTATAAAAAGAAAGAAAGAAATATAGAAGGGGGACAGAAAGAAAGAAAGAAAGAAAGAAAGAAAGAAAGAAAGAAAGAAGGAAAGAAAGGAATAAAGAATTAAGAAAGAAAGAAAGGAAGAAAGAAAGGAAGAAAGAAAGGAAGAAAGAAAGGAAAAATCTGTGTGTGTGTAATTGAGAAAGAAAGAAAAAGAAAGAAATTTTGTCTTAAGAAAGAAGGAAGGAAAGAAAGAAATATGAAATTGAAAAAGAAAAAGAGAAAAAGATGAAAAGAAAAATTTGGGAATTAAGAAAGAAAGACATAGGGAATTGAAATAGAAAAAACAAATAGAAAAAAGAAGATAAGTAACAAAAAAGTAGGGACTTGTGAAAGAAAGAAAGAAAGAAAGAAAGAAAGAAAGAATATGAAATTGAGAAAGAGAGAAAATATTAAAGAAATATGGAATTGAGAAAAAAGAAACAAACAAAAATAATAAAATCTGGAATTGGATAAGAAAGAAAGAAAGGAAAAAAGAAAGAAGGAAAGAAAAAAGGAAGAAAGAAGGAAAGAAAAAAGAAAGATGGTAGAACGAGAGAAAATTGGAATAAAGAAAAAAAAGGAAGGAAAATATTTTCATTCCCCTTTTCTGTTTGTGTTCTATTAAAATGAAGAAAATGTTGAGAAAGAAAGAAAAATTTCAAAAGAAAAAAAATTCCAAAATAAAAAATTCAAAATAAATAAAATTAAAACCTAAAACGTTGAACTGAAAGAGAAAATAAATGAAGGAAGACGAAAGAGAATGAAAATACGACAAAATTAATAGCCTAGAAAATCGTAAACATTGAATGAAAACAAATAAAACATGAAAGAGATCTCGTTAAAAATTCAAAGAGACTCTGAATGAAAGTGAAGAAAGGAAGAATGAGAAAACAGAATGAAAGAAAAACGAAGAAAAGAGAAGGAAAAACGGAATGAAAAAGGTAGAAATAAATAAAGATGTATAAAATCGGGAGAAAAAGAAAGATGGAAACGAAAAAAAAAAAAGAAATGAAAATGGTCCTTTGTACTTTCCAAACGCCAACAAGAAAATGTCGAATCTCTTTGTAATAATTCGGTAAACTGCTTCGTGCAGTTAAATTATTACTTTTTCATCGTTTTACAACCCTTGGGCCTTTTCTTCAAAGGATTTTATTAGACTATTTTCCTTTTTAACTTTTATCCCCTTGTAGACTTTATCTTTTAATGCACCATTCTGGAATGCTAACTGTTGCGCTGACCTCTTTGCACCGGCCATGCATTCGCTTACAACTGCACATAATGGCAGAAAACTAAAACATCTATTCAGCTTGATTTGAAAACTATATACCTCATTTGATTGGTTAAAAATGTAGCATGTTTTTACACACAAAAAAAATCAGATTATGATACTTTAGGAAATTTTTAATAATTTATGGATAAAACCGCTATTTAATTTTTGACTGAATTTTCCAATAATTAACATTTTGCTTAAGAAATATCAACCTCCTCGGCAGTTATGTGTTCAATTGCTTTGTCTGGTAGTACTAAAAAGTAACTGAGTCAGTATTGGGCAGTTCCAGCCCCAAATTGGCAGCAATACTCCATTTTTGGTTTGATGTGGTTCTTGTAAATGTAGAGGATAGCAGGAAGAATCAGGGACTTACTAGTGAGGTACAGGGAGCCGACCATTTTTCCAGCATCTTTAGTGATGGATAGTACAAATGTATTTCACTTGAAGTTTAGGCTAAACTTGAGTCCCACTAGTCGTTTCAGGCAAGGAGCCTCATCTCTATCTATAAAAGGCAGGATGTGTGTGTGTGTGTAACAAATGTACGGCCGCAATTTGCACCAAAATTTACATGCACATGCTCCAAGTTAGCGGGAAGGCCAAGACCGACTTTGCATTTCCCAACTCCCGTCGATAGTGGAAATAATTGATTTTTTTCAGGCTTCTACGGCAGTTTTCATGTAGTTTGCGGCCATTTTCTACTGGCCAGAGTGAGAGCCTATAGCTGGCTGCCACGAATAGGCAGGAAGATTCTATTGGCCAGCGTGAAAGCCAACAGCTGACTGACTCAAATGTTAACTAGCATGCTAGCATGCAAAAAAATCGATAGCTGCATTCGTCACAAGTGGGAAAAATTTAAATCTGAATGGCACTTTACTCCAATTGGCTCAAACTCAACGTTGATTCTGATTCCGCAGAACTGGGTTGGGTGTGATAAAAGTATTTGTTGTTAACATTCTTTTTTCATTCGGTTTTTCCACTTACGAGTCCTTTGTTAAAGCTGATCGTTTTGTGTTCATTTTGTTTAGTTCTTTTTTTGTAACAGATTTAATGTTTAGTATAGAGCTTAGAAAAAATTCGCAGTGTGAGATAGGCAAGAAGTAAGGCATGTAGCAACATCAGCACGGAAAAGGGCACTCCTTTAAAGGCAAGGAAGGGCAAAAATATTTTAAGTCAAGTGATAGCGATTGCTGTATGCGTCGTACAAGCACGGGCAACGCCGGGACATGTTGCTAGTTAATAATAAAATTGTTTAGCTTGACTAAAGAAAAATCAGCGTCTGCTCTGTCTTTATGACAAATTAATAGCTTTCTTTTGAATGTGTTGAACGTTGCAAGCCAGTTCCTCCGTCATTGAGCAGTTCGGGCAAGGTCAGAAGAGTGATCAGATTGTTGGGAGTGGCACCCATCAACCGTAGGATCGTCTGCATAGATATTTATTAATGATCTGAGAATGTTTCTAGGCAGATCGTTAAGAGAATGAGGATAGGACACAAAAGATCATCTTGGGGTACGCTAGAATTGATCTCATAGGTTTCAGAGGACTGACAGTTAACAATGACCTTCATGGAAGGAGTTGGTAATTGGGGAAAACACATAGTCATTTACGTTTATATGCGTGCCAAAATCTTTTCTTAGTTTATACGATTTGCATTGTTGATTTTTGTTTGGAACTTTTTGGTGACTATCATCCATTCTTTCTAGTTTGTTTATCTGTTTAACGTTATGGATCATTTAATGCCGAAATTTAATTTTCTCAGGAGCATGGAGGTTTATGATGTTATTCTGCTTTCACAGTTGAATACATGGTAGATGATACTCATCTTTGATGTATATACATGTTTGCGTGGGCATAATTACTAGAGGCAGTGATATGCCTGTTTTATGTTGTCGTTTTGTTGAAGTTATGTTTTGGAACACAGTTTGTTTTCGTTAAAAAAGTTTAGGATATTATACGGATTAATGTCATGAAAGTCTTCTTTTACTTTGGTTGTTTGGTCGTATCTTAAACGGATTTGGATGAAGTCGCTATAATTTGTTAGTATTGCGTATTATTGGTAATTTTATTCAAAATATGGATTGTTGGTAATTTTTTTCTGTATAAAAATGGTATTTTTACGATACGAATTTAGTTTTTTCTAGTTCACTATTTGCCTATTGCTGGGACCCTAACAGATGCTGCCACACTGGGCCTGGGTGGACCTATGAACAACAGCAATTAAGAGGTGGTTCCATACTCCTCAAACCCCCAATCTTCCGAGCAGAGGCCTTGCTGCTGAATGTAGTTTATCGTCATACCCAGGACTAGAGTTGCATTGGAAAAACATTGTCTTGCCTAATTAAATCTGCCATTGAGGAATAATTTATTTCAAACGATAGAAATATATTACAAATAAAGAAATAATGGAATGCAGATCCTTCGGAATTATGGCAATCGTTACTGAGAGAATTAGCTTATTATTAAGATTTTTGATTGTTCAGGCCGGTAGACGTCGAACGCGTGTTTACTGATGTGTCGTTAACGCCCGTGTGCTGTAAGTAGAGCCGATGTTCCTCTTCAATTTCGATGGGAGAAATTGTTCAGCCTCGGAGATTACAACCCTGAGTCAGTACCTTCCACATTGCACTAAAGAGGTTGGATCGGCGTAATACCGATACCAGCGTGGCAGTTAAACAAATTTGGTGGGGAAGGCTGAGTAAATATACCTATTTGTTGGGGCCACCCACCTTCTCATCAGAATGGACTGACCTTTCTACTACTAATAGGACAGTTCTATAGAGTTCTGGGAAGATCAGGTGACCATCACACTTCTGTCTCTCTACCGGAAGATACAGTTGGACTTTATATTCTTTCTGATTGTTACTGACTAACCTGCGTTCGTTTGACTACTAATCTCTCTGTTGTAAATACCTCTTCAGATATACCAGTATTTTTCCCTATGTATGTGTTTGTCCTTATTTCAATACACGCACGGGGAAACACTCAACATCTCAACACTATTCAAAGAACGGAGAAGAAGTGTGAACCTGTCTAACGCTATTGTATTCACAAATAATGAAATGATAAGAATATGTACTGTCCTGTACTGATGCGGCATTCACCCTGGGCGGATTGAGCCGGCTTCTTCCTGTTATGAGAAGAAGATTCTTGGGATAAATTACAGAAGTAGGGTACCCAGGCCTACTCGGATAACGTTCTTGCTTGCCGCGGGGTTCCCACAGACGCAGAGACAGGAACGACCAGAAGCCGCCGGTTGCCGATGCAGACGCTCCTTGGATTTTCACCAGAGCCCTTGTTAGCCGGCGTGTGTCAGACCTGTCCGCCTTGGTGGCCCTACCAGGAACGAAGTTCCGGGCGGCATAGCTCTGACACTACCGTTTTACACCCCTCCACCGACAGTGAGGTAAGGTTGACTTTGGGGGCTTACAGTACCAGGTGTTCCCCAAGCGGTCCCCCATCTAAGTACTGACCTGGCTCTACGATGCTTAACTTCGGTGATCGAACGAGAACCGGTGTTTCAGCGTGATTTGACCGTAAGCATAATAAGCATAATAAGAATATGTGAAACTATAATTGCCTACATCCTGAAGAAACACTTTGTGAAAAATAATTTAGGACCGATAAGAGTGAAAAGGAATAAAGACTAACAATTGCTGACGTTGCAGTTTTCTATCAATGAATTTTAAGCTTATGGAATTGTTATGACCTCATAATACGTAGAACGGTAATTGATAGCGTCGAAAACACCGGCCATTTTTGTCCTAAGACTTTCTATGGTTATGTTAATATAAAGGGTATCACAGCAAAATTGACATCATTTTGTTGTTTTTGTTTAGCAACATATCAACACCTCTATGGGTCATTTAATACCAAAATCTAAATATGAAAATTCAAACCTTATAATTAATTCAAGAGAATGTCATTATTTCATGATTAAGTTATAATTACTTAGTGCATATCTATCTATCTATCTATCTATCTATCTATCTATCATATCTATCTATCTATCTATCTATCTATCTATCTATCTATCTATCTATCTATCTATCTCATTCTGTTCATGTCTATCCATCTCGAAGTGTTTATTTTGCAATGTTTGTTGCCAATGACGAAATCTCCTGATCATTATTCACGTGCACCAGGATGCGTTTTTAGTGATATTGGTCGTGAGCAATTAGTAGCATAAAAAAAGAAAAGAATAAAAAAACAGATTTAATTTGTTCATGGTAATTGTTTGGTTCGATTTATTTATTTTGTTTAGCGACCTATCAACACCTCTATGGGTCATTTAATGTCGAAATCATAATATGAAAATTCAAACTTTGTAACTA